CCTGCGCTTTTTCAAATGCCCTTATATTTTTTTGTGTTCAGCTAGAATGTCTTCAATACAAATATTATTTGCTTTCCATTTTTGTTGGGAACCAATAAGCAGAAAATTTTCATCTTCAGTAACTTCATGTCGAAAGCAATCCGCAAATGGTGCTGCCCAACCATTAATGATTATATTATTAGACCTCCAGTCTACATCACTAAGATCTATAGATTATTAAGTTTAAGACATGGAAATTGTTCCCGGATGTGACGAACAGTAAGAGGACGAAGTTTGATGCGTAACTCTAAGGTATCCTTATGACCATAAGCGCCACGATAAATTTCTCGAAGTGATTGCACCTTTTTACCCAAACATTGTTGCAGAACGCTTCGAATTCTGCTACAAAACGTTCCCAGTCCTGCCATTGTAACATCCATCGGAGTCAAAATATCATCTAAAATGTTTGTAGCCATGTGAAGAACTTGATTATAGAGGTAGAGAAATATAAGCGGCATTTGAACCACATATTTATTGTCACCACGATGCTTAAGAACAAGATGCCTATCGCGTTCTAATACTTCGAATGTTTCATCAGGATACTCTTGTGAAGGAATATCTGTTTTCATAACTGGAATCGATCCAATATAATAACGGATAAGTGCCCAAGTAAGACTTCGTCGTTCCTCAGCAAATGTTGTAACAGCATACTGTTTGTCAATATCTGATGCAACTCCGTTGAAAAAATGTTTGGGTTATTCCTTTCGATCTCATTTAAAAACCATTGTACCCGATCATAATTTGCACAAAAAAAATGTTCTAACAAGTATTCCAGAGCACGTGGAAAGCCACCAGTATCCGAATGTTGAGAAGTTGATAAATAATTATACTGTGTAAATTGTTTTTTCATTTCGTCGGGATACACAGCAAATGTGGGTACTGTTTGCGAAATTTTTAATTGATCCATTTGGAATACAACTTTAAAAATCAGTTGAAAATTTTACAACAACTGTTGAATCCATGATTTCAACTTCTAGTTATTTGAAGGATCATATTGAACTATAAAATGCTTCATAATCTGAATACGCGCAGCCATTGACAACAATGGACATTCAGCAAAATGCCATGAGTATAATGTGGGTTCTTTTGCTCGTATTACACTGTGTGGTGCTGTTCCTGAGAGAAATGTTTGTATGAAGATATATTGCGGACTCTGATATGTCATATAACGCCCAAGTTCGTATATTATACATCTAAACAGCCCTTTTGGTAGATTTTTCGTATCTGCATTCCAACCATCAAAATTTTTTGAAATTCATCATTATGAATAAACAAAAAAAGACACTGGCCAGCATTAAGGCATAAATAACTTCGAATAGCTGTGAGTGCATCATGGCGAAATTCACGAAACTGAAAATCATATTTCCCTTTGATAAAAAATTCATAAGCCATCGTATACCAATAATTATTGATGCTGATAGATCGTAATCATATGCATCTAATATTACATCGTTACCAAAGTCAAGACGCAAATACTTTATATGAACTAAACCATTACTTGTCCATCTAGTTGGTGGTGCCCAGTGATGTTGCAAAGTATTAAAAACTTCTTGCCCTAATCGTGTTTTACCTAGAGCATAATTAATTATAAGGTTTTAGTTGCCTGTTAAAATAAGCTAATACAGGTGACCCTCGTTAATCAACCTATTTGAATTGGTTTTGAATCATGTTGATAGTGATATTAATGAGAGATCATATCAATGTTGATATGCATGAGGGAATTTTGATATATAAAAATTTATAAAAATTTGTCTTGTGGCTTAGGTTGGTATTAATGAGGTTGATATTAACGAGGGTCACCTGTATAAGCGTAAGATAACTTTATTCACCTATACCAGCTGTCTCTTCGTAAACTAAAAATTGATAATGTTCTTTTGATATATCTTTACCATGTGTAGCATTATGAATATTGTTATTAATTACATCGATAAGCTTTTGAAGATCACGGTCTTTTAGAGGCATGATACTAATAGTGTCGTTAATTTGACTTCTGGGATCAGGCTTGCATCTTGTAGAATTTTAGATATGATATTAAAAGTGTCGGTTCTGAAATTTTTATTGTTGTGCTGATTTTTAAATGTTTTTTTTTGAATATCTTTTTTTTTTTTCTTTTTTTTGTACCTTTTATTAATAAAAAATTAAATAGTGAAAAAACATTCCTAGTAAGACAATTTCAAAATGTTCTTTTTCTTAGAAACTTCTAAAAAGATTAAGCAATACTGAGGTTCCTCTCAGAAACTTCTTTTAACAAAGAATAGTTTTTTTCAAAAATTCGTTCTTTTACAAACTTCCTGTTAAAAGATTAAGTACGCCTAGCTTCCAAAGAACGAGGAGTTCTTTTTTTAGAAACTTCTAAAAAGATTAAGCAATACTGAGGTTCCTCTCAGAAACTTCTTTTAACAAAGAATAGTTTTTTTCAAAAACCCATTTTTTTATAAACTTCCTGTTAAAAGATTAAGTACGCCTAGCTTCCAAAGAACGAGGATAGTTGTCTTTGCCTCAAAATATTTAATGCCACCTGAGTCTTTTCCTTGTAACATTTATAGTGGGGTTCGTTTAAACTTGCTATTTTTTGTAATTGTTGTTTATAAACACCATGTTGCGCAGGACTAAAATTTTATTTCTTGCAGTTTTATATTTCCGAAATGTTTCTAAAAAATAATCATTTGATGTTTAAAAAAAGATCGCATCTTGAAGTTGTAAAGAAAGTTTAAAAGGTGGTTGAGTGGTTGGTGCAAAAAGGCGACGAAAAATAAACATAAAAAAAGTTGTATAAAGTTTAAAATGTTTTCAGATTTTATGGTTCAAAATGGTTTCAGATTTTATAGTTGAAAAAAAATTTCGTAAAGTTTGAAATGTTTCAGGTTTTTATTGTTTTTATGGCTGTAAAAAAAGTTGCGTAAAGTATGAAATGTTTTCAAAAAAATTGTAGGAACATTTCAAGATATAGAAATTAAATACACAAATATAAATTTCAATTACTAAATTAGTTTATGCAACTCATTTTCGTGAGAGAGTTCACTATAACGAGAATGTGTTGTATTCGAAAAGTCCCGGGAATTTGATCAAAACACGAATTACGACGAATTATACAGGAGTCAAATAAGGGGGTCGTCTAAAGCCAACTACCCCAAGAACACCTCCAAAAATTCTGCACACCAATCAGCTTTCAAGATCAGGTGTAACGTGAAATTATGCAC